CAGATAAAAGATATATACTCACACATATATATATATATATATATATATATATATATATATATATATATATATATATATATATATTAATTAAAACACATTTTACCCGCGCACGACGATGCGACAAAATAGGTGTCCTCCCTAGGCAAAATTGACGTTCCGGACGCGTTGGCGCAGTCCGTTTCGTCATCCGGGGTCGCTCGGACGACGTCGTCGACGGTCGGGTCAAAAACGCGTCGAAATTCAAATTTCACAAAAATATTGACCCGCGATCGATTGTTTCAAAAATTTCATTCGAGTCTTCGACGGGTAACAGTGCAAGCGATGTGAATTATGGCGATCGGACGTGTTGGCTCTCCGAATTGCGAAGTTTGTGCGCGCGGGGGTGCGAATTGTGCAGAAGGCCACCCTAAGGCTCAAAAAGGTCCTATAGGGATCCCTTTTGGGTTTCCTCATGTTGGTTTCACCCTTCTAAATGCTAGAAGTCGATACCACACACTTGGAACCACAAAAGAGGACGGAAATAGGTCAAATTACAATGAGGCGGGCACCACTTCTAAGATTCTAAGATAGTCAAAGGGAGATCCCTAAGGCTAGATCCTAAACCCTAAGAGGAAGACTAGACCTCACTAAAAATGAGGTCAACAAAATGTTATATTTGTTCGCACCAATTTGAAGTTAAATAATTTATGGCCTCCATCGGAAAATTTCTTAACTAAATTGGGGTGAATTTGATCAATGCCTTAAAATCTAGTTGAACCTAACAAAGAGGACAAAATTGCCAACAAAACTAGCATTTTCAGAACCATTGGACAAGGTTAGATTTTTTATAAACCACATAAACTTAAAATTAATATGTATATCATACATACTTTCGCTTATATACACGAAAAGAAAAAGGGGCTTCAATGCAAAATCAAATCTGCGGCATATAATATACAAACACAAACTCAATATCAGTATCTTATTCAATATCCTTAAAGCTAGTGGAATATAAGATTACAAGCATTGTTAAGATTGATCATCAATTTCATCTCAAATGTTTTACAGGAGATCTATTATTCTCACATGATGCAGTTTTACAATTCACCTAAAACTTAAAAATATTGTTTTTTTTTTAGATTCAAAGAATGTTGCAAAGTTTTGGCTGTTGAAATACATGAAAAGTGAATTTCTCATGTTGAGAAGTGAATAGGATAAAGGGCTTCTATAAGTTGAACTTTCTCATTCCTAATCCATAGATTATCCAAACATATGGCAGATAAAAAAGCTCGGATAAATAAGTCAAAATTGATGATTACTTAGAAAATAATTAAACACAGAAATCACCTTATTGAAGGTTACGCATTTTGCAACTCTGACCATGTTTTGGTAAAAGGCACTACAAAAAAAGATTTTCAAGTTAATAGTGGCTCAATGGATAACATCTTCGAGAGTATTGCACTATTTCTATGATAATAAAAAAATTTGTTACCGAGTGATGCAACAAATCCATTAACATGTACACGCATTGAAGTGTTTTAAAACATTCTGAAACAACTTACCCACCGACATAATCAAAATCTGAAAAAATAAATGTTCTTGAAATATCAAAGCCACAAGCAATGATATCCTTTGCATTCTCACGAGCAAGTCTTCGAGACTCTTCCACTGACAAATTCTTCCACATGCATTTTTCATCATCAGTTAGTTGAATCACCAGCGGAACCTTGAACACATCCTGCAAATATCTACATTCATTTGCAGTCAAATGAACAAATGCTACTAAAAAATGTTGCTTAAAAAAAATACTTTGTAAGAAAAAATATTAAAGAAGTGATGTTTTGGTTAAGACTTTGATGCAGTACCGTATAAATATTGTAATTGAAAATAATCGGTGAAGTATGGCGGTTAGTTTCTCACTTGAAATTTTATGATCTTTATTTTCTGTTTTGAACACTGACATTGTTGGAAGACCTTTCAGAGTTTACTAATTTCAAATTCAGGCAGCTTAGAACAGATGAGAAAGCTTAGAATTATTTTTTCTCTTGACAAGTGGAACCCTAACTTTCAAAGAATCAATTCTGAAGAACATGAGCTGATGCTTTGGGTACAGTTTTCTTGGAGTTTTAATTTCCTCAAATTTTAATGAAGTTACTTGTGGAAAGGCAGTAAATTTCTTGGTCGTATACAATATGAATGGACAAAAATAAATCTACTGTTATATGGCGCGAAATGTTGGCCTATAGAAGAAAAGCATTATACTAAGTTAAGTGTTATTGAGATGAGAATGCTTAGGTGGATGAGTGGCTTTACACTTAGAGACAAAATGTGAAATGAACATATCCGTGAAAGGGTTGGTGTAGCTCTAGTGGCATACAAGACTATAGAGAGTCATCTTAGATGGTTTGGTCACATTAAATGTCGACCATCTGATAATCTAGTTAGGAGACTAGATATTTTAAGATTTGACATAAGTTAAGAAAGGTGGAAGTCGACCTAAAAAGATCTGGACATGTTGTATAAAAAAATGATCTTAATTTATTAAAATTAAATGAAAATATGACAGTCAATAGGACACAATGTAGATGTAGCTGACCCAACTTAGTGGAATAAAGGTTTGTTATTGTTGTTGTTGTTAAAAAATAAATCTACTATTATTAGTAAATAAAGAAGAAAAAAACAACAATATATTATTTGTTTTCTACGAGAAGAACACCAAATTAGCAAAATACTATTATTGTCGGTAGCTATAACAAGTCAAAACATGGGTGGGAAGGTCATCTACAATAAGAAACCTAACTTGGGGTACCTTGATTCAGCCCATATATTATTAGGAATGCTCCAAAAAATTCCAATTACTTGTCTAAACCTTTTTTTTTTCATTTTTTGCTTCTATAAGCCAATGTGACCTTTTCTTTTTTTCCCTAAATGTGTTTTTTTTTTTATTTTCTCCTAATTTGAACTTGCAACAAAGGCACCTCATCGCACAATAATTTTTGTAGTGGGAATCAATGGTGGTTGAGATTTTGCAGAATGCAAAGCAAGTCTCATTCACTAGCTAGGATAATGAACCGGTGTGAGTTCTTTATTTAGAGATTTTATTTTCTTCTTTTGAGGTGATTTCTTGGTGTGCTTGGATTCATGAAAGATGTTTGTTTGTGATCCTTTAGAAGCACAACAAATATTTAATAGCAATTCTAATTCTCACTCATCTTACATAAATGAAATCTTATTTTAGTGAATCATTATTCTTCGTTCACATATTTGTTCATGATTGACACTCAAACATAAAAGCTAAATGTTTTTCATGACAATAACTATGTGACTTTTTATTTTGCAAAGTGTAACTATTTAAATAAAAGAGGCATTTACATACATAGCACACAATTCTTATATATTTATATATCTCATGCTTAAACTTTCATATTTACACATGAAGCACTCGAATCTTTAATAGCACTTCAAAAATAACATTACAACCACTTTTTAAAAGTGAAATACACATTTTCATACATAGGTTTTAAAATGCCAAAGTGCAATATAAATAGATATGAAAATTTAGGAGTGAGATAGGTAAATACAATAGAATTGTGTGCTAGGCATGTAAATTTCCCTAAATAAAAATGCCCTCTTTCCCGGAAGCAATAGCTAAGTGCCATATTGCATACAAAGACATCAAAGACACAAAACATCAGGAAAAAATTCCATCAGTTGGAGACGACTACGCATGAAAATCATAGGAGCTTCTTGTATTGAGTGTTGAACATGGTTATCTACTATCATAAACATATACACAAAAAGTATCATTAAATCAAGTAAAAAAAATGGGAACAATCACCACAACAACTAAAGATTCTCATGTCATTTTTCATTCCTCAACTAAGTATAGCAATATTTGCTTTCCAATTTCCATTCCCTTGAAATTTCAGGCTCAGTATTGAGAGAACGATAACAAAAGCAAACCAAAGAAGCATTTTAAACCAAAAAAAAAAATCTACTTTTGTAGTTAAACGGCGGCAAGGTACCAAAGTAAGACACCAGATAAAAAATTACTTAGTGAACATGAAGGGCACCAAATGGCCAAGATGCAGAGCCTCTGATGATGGTCCCCTCCCCGTATAAAGATAAAACTTCTCCCCTCTCTCGTAGACATCAAGAATCTCATTAAAATCCCTAAAATGAACAAAATCCGCATCAAAAATAATAATTCCTTGTCAAAATTGATGAAATAGTGATCGTAAGTGAGCGACCTGTGTGCGAAGAAGACGCCGCGGCGGAGAAATACGTGGGCAGGGCGAGAAGTGAGGCGCTCGACACGATTGACAAGGGGTTGGTCAAGCCGCTGGCATCCAAACTTTTCAATCAGCTTGTCGTAATCTATCTTTCCGCCGTCCTTTGCCGATACCTCCCAAGGGTTAACCACCTGACTGTCTTCCTCCGCCGACATGGCTGTCGTGTCCGCTCCACCAGCTCTGTGGTCCTCCGCCATCGGAGCTCGAAATCAAAGAGGCCGCATGGAAGACAAAGTTAAGGGCGGTTTGGTAGCAGAATTTAACTTGAGTTCTACCGAAACGGTAAAGATCGTAACTTCAAATCCGACCGTTTTGCCTAAAATCCCGGATTTACTAGATCCGTGGGTGTCTCTTTGCCCGTCGACCACCCGTCGCAAACTCCTCTTCTCCTTAACAGACCGCCGCACCGTCGATGCCTTCGCCCGATGAGCTCCGGTGACGAACTCCTCTTCTCCTTCACGCGCCGCCAATGCCGCCGTCCTGGAATCAGGGTAGAAGGCGCAGTGCACCTGCATAATAACCCGAGTTACATAAGGCACATATTTGTTTTTCTACAATATTAGACTTAAAAATAAATGCAACAAATTTTTAGCACTTTCAAGCTTTGATCTTTATTTCACTTCTAATAACTCGAGTTACATAAGGCACATGCTTCCTTGACTCGAGTAATTGTCAAATTATCATTTACTCATGACGTGCTCATTAAACATCTACGTAGAATATACAAGTTTATGCTTATACTAATCTCGTAAAGCAACATTAGCTCGTACCAAATTTGTTTATAACATCAAAACAATAATACAAGCTTAATCTTATTGCATGTGGTCAGTGCTAAGTGATATTCAAATCGACTATTTTTTTTTTATCCAAGGGAGACAAAAAAAGACAAACAATAAAATATAATATAAACAATGGACAACCATGTAATGGGCGATGGCCAAGCTAATTTCACATGTGTTTTAAAGTAAACAATAGTGAATATTTGTGTATGGCTCACAAATGACTACCAAAAGTGATTGTTTTAGCATTATGAGTGAGAAGAGAAATAAATCATATGAAGATTTGTCCAACAACAATCACTAACAAATCAAGCTAACTCTCATGCAAAATATATGATTAGCTAATAACCTTGTGATCTCCAAATTTTTATGACTCCACATTTTATGGCACCACCCCTTCCATCATGTTTTTATATTATTATTTGTTATAATTCCACCTCATTATCATTTATTACAACTCATAGCACAATCACTTATCAGCCATCACCATCATCTCTCATCAATCCATGAGATAGAAGTATGTTGATTTGTCTCCCTCTCTAAGGCTCCAAACCTCCATGGCTCTCAATTTTGGCATACACCATCATATTACAAAACCCTATTCTTAACAGATCCATTCTTCCACACCCCCCAATCATAGTTGTATTTCACAAAGCTTTGACTCACTTTAGCAAGCCCAAAAACACCATTGGAGGGCTTTTAAATTTCCCCTTCCTCAGTAAATTGAGCTCTATCTTCTCGCTTTCATCACCCTTTGTTCCCTATAGCACCCTTAAACAACCTCATTACCATCTATTAGTTATACCAACACAACCCTTTATATAGCCTCCTCCACACCCAAGGGTACAAAATAATGAACCCAATCATTGTCATTCACTATGTCACCTTGTCAATAATTATAAGTTATAAATTATCATCCACTCTTCACTACTCTACCAATAATGAAATGTCACCATCATACTCCAATTTTAACTCCCAACTAAGTGAATCCATCAAGAATAAGGCTATTTTTTTATATTAACATTGTGAAGTGACCATAAATAAGGGGTCTCCTCTAATAATTGTTGAATTTGCAAAAGTTGAGTATAAGAAAATAATTGGGCATGCATCCACTCTGGAAAGAATTGACTCAAATAATATTAAGATTTTCTTAAAGATGAGAGTTTTTCTAGGCCATATAATGGTGTGGATAACTCTACTACAAAGAAGGGATCTTTCTTTTAAACTATATGTGTGTGTTTGTGTGTGTGTGTGAGTGTGTGGGTGTGTGTGTGCTCCACAATAAAGACTGTGAAATTTGGTTGAAAAACTGACGACCTAGAAAGTGTAGTTAATTGTGTTTACTTTCGACGGATTTCTGAATTTTTATTTAACTCACAATTTTTCTACGGGACTTCTTGTGGGCTTTTAGCGAATCTAATAATAGATTGTCATTGAATAATAACTAATGGTCAAAGTTGTTGGTTATGTAAGTAGAGGCCCAACGCCGTCAGAACATCATACATCAATTATTATTATTATTATTATTATTAATCGATGGTTATGATATTTTAATCAACGGTGAAATTGCCGATTTATAACAACTTAAAACATGATGGTCATACGCCATCGAAGAAACAAATGTCAGTTTTTATTTTCTTAATAATTGCGGTACTTATATTTTAACTGACAAACTTGATTGTTTGTTCTTAAGAAATTAAAAAATGATGGTTAAAACCAAACACAAATTTGTTGGAAAGATTGCTTATATCAAGCCAACATTTGAAATTCCTTATTTTCTTACACTTAAATCATAGGTAAGATCGATTTCACTATTTCTTAAAGTTTTAATTTAATTTTAACTATTAAATTTATTGTATTTTGAGAATAAGTGTTTTTGCAAAATTTAAAATTTAGATTCAATTTTCTACAATTTTGACAATGTGTCTCATTGTTACATGCATACGACTCATCTCTTAGGTATTTCCAATATCTAACAACTAAATTTCAGTGATACCTAGCATGCAATTCTTATGTATTTATGTATCTCACAGCTTAATTTTCATATTTACATGCACGACGCTTTGTTTTTTTTTTTTTGTGATAGAGTTGACTGGCAGCAGTCCTCACGAGTAAATCTAGAGCAACTATTGCATTCAGAATACTATTGAATTTGCTCATCAAGAAAAAGAAATTACAGATTTATGCAATTCACTTGATTCTACTAATGAAGAGATAAATTTAGAAGATGTTAGTGGCGAATTCGAACAAATTACTCTTACTGAATATGACTCTTATGATATTTTGGACAAATAAATTTTAAGTACATCCTCTAGACACTCATCAGAAGTTGTTGATTATGTGTATAAGTTAAATAGAATTCTTCTAGCATTAAAAAAATTTACTCCATATCCCGATAGATTACACTATAGTTTTGACTTTTTGTTTATGATGTAGATTTCCATTTTTAATATTAGTAATTTGTTGGTTGCACTTTACACCATGTTTGTACTTTCATTTGATATTATTACTTATATTTTTTATTTTTTTCTTCTTATTTGCCCAATTATGTCCTTACTTTTCCTCGCCATCTTTTTTGAGCAGAGGTCGTTTTGATGATATGGCCCCATTTTTTTAGTGCATGAGATTATAAAGTTAATAACATATTTAGGGTCTGTTTGGGGCAGCTGCAGTTTCTTGAATAATCTGTTGATAAGCTGATTAAAAATAATCTACTGATAAGCTAGGTGTGATAGCTACTATAAATTTTCATTTTTTTGGAAAAGCTAGACCGCAGCCACCGCACCTAGACAGGTACGGTGTGAAAATACTGTTTTCAGCATTTTGAAACCGCATAAGCTACCAAAACACAGTTTACCCATATAGGCCATGTGTGTTTCAAAACGTCACCGCACCAAATAAGCTGCCCCAAACGGACCCTTAATATTCTCATGTGCTTTAGCAATCTCCCCCTCTTTTGGGAACTCCTTCCATTAGTCATTACTCATTCTCAGAAAGTAAGCTTTTTAAAATAATCAAATATCATTCACTAAAAGACCACCGAACCACATGATGTCGCCACGTAAGTTACTCACTTTACAACTTTGCTAAACTAAGATACAAGGCAACCGAAAATCATTTGAGTCGTAAATTGTGCAACCAATTTTGTCCCACATTAATTGTAAGCTCTGATGTCATTTTATCAGGAGCAAGAGCCAAAGAAGATCTTAATTGACGGTCAGTTTGGGCTTGCAGTATGACACTGCACAACAATTTTATCTGTTTTGATAAATTATATTTTTGCATTGCCGCTGAAATTTATTTTTTCTCACCACTTTTGATTATGTGCGGTGACAATTTTTTAGCTGCGATTTGACTTAAAACAAAAAATTGTAATGATCATCGTAGTTTTTTGAGTACATATTATTATTCAATAACTTCACAAGTGATTTTTAATAAGCTTCAGCTATCAAAAAAAAAATAACCTGAGTTGGATACACCAAAAATCAATATAGTTTTAGCCCAAAGTTTATGTTTATGAATCAATTTCCACCTATTTGATATTTATACATGAACATAATCGGACTTGTTTATTTTTGTTCAACAATTAACTCGTTAAAAACTCAATATTAAAGTTGATATAAACTTATTTCACATAAGATATATTATTTAAATAAAATTTAATTAACTATTATCTATTTAAATATTGATTTAATAGTAATATATTATTATATCAACACAATTTTTTTATTAATTTTTAATTATATATTTATTTTATTAGTGTTTAGGTGTTAGATGTGAAAATATATAAGATTTATATCAAATGTATGAAATGCTCATTAAATTTGATTTTAAAACCCATCAAACCTCGCCTTCCCTCTGCACCCTCACTGTTTCGTGTTTCGCGGATTCATTTGAAGCATACAAAACCCTGAGTGTTATGGTGTGCTAGCATCGAAAGTAATGACAAGATCGATGTATACAAGAATCTTTGAAACTCTAGTCTCTTGCATATTTCTCATTTACACTATGTTTTTATGTTCTACTCAATTTAAAAGTGATGTTGAGGAAGTGCAATGTAATTATTGAAAGTTACATATGATTAAAAATAATGATTTAGAACAACTAAACATAAAATATATATACAAGATTGTTCAAAAAAATTAGCAAAATGATAAGTGCATATCACTACAACAAAAACCAACACTTGCATCTGAATGTGAGAGTCAGGTGAAAGCTTGGAAGTACGAGTAAGATCCTACTAAAATATGAGAGATTACATTTTATATAATCATGATTCATAGGTTGTCTTACATTCTTACAGAGTTTATAATCGATAAATCATTAGGTGCAATCAGATTTGTAAGATTATTTGTTAATTTTTTTATATATGATTCTAAATACTCATATGAATTTTTAACTCTTTTTCACTTGTCACACATAAATCAAGTACCATTCAAGTTCAAACATTGAAATATTTGAACAACTTATAGTTATATTAAGCCAAGTCAGAACTATGATATACTCCGCTCGATTACAGTCATAAGTGCTATTGCAATAATTCATTATAAAGCAACATTTAAATACAAACAATTAATGAAAAAATTAATAATTATATTTTTTCAGATTTAAAAAATCAAATTATTATTTTCATAATTATATTCAAAATTTTAATAATTATTTTCATTAGTTTAGTAATTGAATTTTAAATAAAAATTACATATTTTACTGAATTCACTTGTTTTACATTTAAAATTAAAAATATTTATATTATAAATCAATTAGCGCCTTCTCTTAAAAAAATTTTTGCTT